AAGTATGAAAATTTTTATAATATGATTAAATCTGTTACTACTTTGTGCACAAAATATTTTTTGTCTGAATAAATAGTAAAATATTACACGAAAACACATTTAAAGTATTAAAAATTAATTTCCATTATTTCCATCAATATTTTAATCTGATTTTTTTGCTACCATTTCCTTTCATTACAATTGATAATTACAGCGAAATATATTTAACAAAAGCTATATCTAAATGATAAAAATATTAATTTTTCTAACTGTCAGTGTATACGAAGTTTTAATATATTTCTTTACAAATAATACAATTTTTATTAATTATATTTGTGTTACAATTATATGTATTTCTTCTGCAAATTTTATTTAATTATTCAAAATATTTTTTAATTTCTTTTGTATAATTATAAAAGTAGAAAAAACATAAATTTCATTACAATATACGTCGGCTTTCTGTGTGTTTAATATACGAAAATACAATTATATTTCACTTCTCCGACAGGAATACAAAATTCTTTACAAATGATTAATTTTTCCAACAATTCTTCGTTCATATTATATATATTCCTATGAATAATATTTACTTGATTTGAGTCCACAATTCAAATGCAAAATCGCATTTCAATTCTGTCACCATTTTTATCACTTTAACTCAATTTTCTATTGTATTTCTGGCGGAGAATTGAATCCAATAATAAATATAAAGAAAATTCTCTATTTTTCTATTTTTTCTTCAATAGATATTTGCATATAAATTGTTACTAACTCTACGGTTGACACTGTATTTCATTGCTGTACTTAAGAGACACATACCTTGTTATGTAGTCCTTATGATAAAGTCATTCAATTTCTATACCTATGAATACATTACATCATATATTCTGTACAATAAATTATATAATTTTTATTTTTTATTCCTAAAAATAATGAAAATTTATGTTAATATAACATTTCCTAAGTGTAACGCATTGAACCATATTTTGAATATGAATTCAAGAAATATATTTCTTACGTAAATCAAAATCTGTGCAAATCTTTTACAATATCTCTTGTTTGGCACAAAACTTAATTAACTCTATGTCTCGGAAAAACACAATTTGTTTTTCAATTTTTAAACTTTCTTCTCCAAGAGATTTGGTTATTAGAAATTTGTCTAAAATAATATGAAATGAGAGAGAGAGAGAGAGAGAGAGAGAGAGAGAGAGAGATTTGTATTTAATTTAATACTTTGAATTTGTATTAAATATTTTTTGTTATCATTTAATTCAGTGATATTTTACACAATTTTCTTCTCCATTCATCGGTGTCTCACAAACAGACATATAATCCGTATTTTCAATATTAATCTAACGTTTGTTTTGCTTCTTTAACAGAAAGTATATTATTTGCCAAATATTCCTAACATTTGTTTGTGATATATCATGTCATGTCTTTCAAGAAAGAAAGCAAAACAATTGTGGAGAGAGAGAGAGAGAGAGAGAGGGGGAGAGATTTATCTCATCCCTTACACTAATAACAAGACTTCTTTGTATGACTTTTGTATTTATTAAACACTTCTTTAAACAGAAAGACATGTCCAAAGAGTTACATGACTTGATCTCTATGTTTATGTCCTATTAGTGACAATATTTGAATTTAACGTCACATTCAATACAATGATCCGATCTTTTGGACAAAAGGCAAAGACAAACAAAAGGCGAAAATCAATGATTAAATCGCGCCATAAATGTGTATGAAATGTGATATTTGTGTTGAATTTGAAATTCTTTGTCAAAGATATTTGTCTTATTCCTATCATTCCTATGGATTCCTTCACTCTATAAATATTTATTCAAATGTTTTGTTAAGATATAGAGAATAAGTCGACGAAAAGTTATCCTCAAATAACATTGAATTGCATTTCGAGGAATTGTATGCAAATTATTGTAATTATTACTACAAAAACATTCATTATTTAGATTAAAACTTTGCTTATGTTTAGATTTGTTTAAGTATAAGTATACTGTTATTTAACGATGCTATGGATTCAACCTAGGTGGTTATCCTTATCACTATTACATAGATCAGTGATGAATGGGAGTAAGAGAGAGAGAGAGAGAGAGAGATTGTTGCGAAAAGAATTCCGATATTGACTGAAAAATGCACACAAAAAATATTTTCATTTTTCTATTTGAATATAAAAAGTTGTTTAGAAGTCTATCGATCTATCGATTGAAAGCTATTTTCACATATTTCTTGTCGTCTAATAATGAGTTTCAATCAATGGTTTGATTTGTTGGCAAATATTTTTTCTCAACAAAAGTATGTCTTTTTTTCGCACAAAACATTGGGAATAGCCTTAGGTTTTGGACGATAATGACGGACATAAGTCTCTCGATCTCTACATATATACTGTATATATCTTTCTATTGATGGACTTATAGCCAAATGTCTGACAGGATTTGTTTCCTTACAAATAGGCTTCATATCAAATGTGAATCAAATATTACTTAATATATTGATATATCAATACGTTCTCTCATTTTTCGGTTTGGCTTTCATTTGTTAACAACAAATACATTGATTGACACAAACCAGTCGTAAACAACATTTATTAGAAAAAACATTTCAACTCAAACAATGCAAATGTATATTATTTTTACTAAGAATTATATAAGAAAAGTAATTAAGTAGTAATTGTTTGTCAAAAAGTTGTTTCATGTTTTTAATCTCAAAGACAGACTTCAGAAACAAAAATTTATTATTTTGTATATAAATATAGGAATATTCTAATAAACATATCATTTAATAAACGATTAAAGTAATTAAATATCAATTCCAGGAAAAGTTTAGTTAGCATTTAATGATAGATCGTTTTGAATAATATTTACCGTCAAAGATAATCAATTTCTTAACACAGAATTAATACATTATTCAATAATATCCTAATGTTAACGACACTGTATTTTAACAAATCTAAACATAAGCAAAGTTTTAATCTAAATAATGAATGTTTTTGTAGTAATAATTACAATAATTTGCATACAATTCCTCGAATTATCTAAATATAATTAGTAATTAAAAATTAATTATTATTAAAAACCCATTTATCTGTTTTGTATTCAATATTTACGCCATAGTAAAGCCTATGGAAGCGTTTCCATGAATAGTAGTCACCAATTATAGGGAAAATATTAGACTAACGCAAAACATTTGGCTCATTATATATTGAATTAAAAGATTAAAATTGAATACAATTTATTGAATTGAAAAATATATTCTGACTCTAATTTGCAACACAATCGCCAAAACACACACAATATAATAGCCCTTTAATACGAAAAACATTTTTTGTTTTGTTAATGAATCTAAAATTAGATGCAATACTCGATGCGATCAACACATAGAGTGTTGCCATAACAGCCATACGAGCACTCAATCTAAATAAAGGCATACATTGAATGCCAAATCCATGGATTGATATTTGCAAACGGGTTGACCACCAAAACGGTAGCGATTCTTGTTTTGTCACCGGGAATGCCATAGTTTTGCACACATCGTGTGTTTTCACCTCTCTCTTACTCCCATTCATCACTGATCTATGTAATAGTGATAAGGATAACCACCTAGGTTGAATCCATAGCATCGTTAAATAACAGTATACTTATACTTATAATTATCTATCTATCTATCGACTGTTCATCACAGACAACACACATCCCGGTGTCCCTCATGTGTTGCCAGTAAATGGCTTTTCTATCGACAGATTAATGTTTGTCTGTTAAGAGTGGGTAAAAGAAAAAGAAAAAAGTGGGAAAAATTTATGGCCAAAAGAAATACACTTTGCGTTCAATACAATGTACCATAAAGTATATCATACGCTATGTTTCACACAAAATAATTGTCAAAACAGATACAGAATCGACTTTGAATAGCAGTTTTTGGTAGTTTTAGGTAATGTTTTGTGTGTTATATTTCGTTTCAGTCCGTGTCGTGTACTATAAGGAGACGAGAAAATGCTTTTTCTCTTAATTAATACTCTATTCGTGTGTTTTCTCTATGAAGTCAATTGATTGTTACAAAAATATATATAGAGAGTAGTCTTTCCTAACAAACAAATGCTTCGCTTTTTTAATCAAATATTTCATTAAAACATCTTATGATTAAAAAACATTACAAACAAAACTCTAGGGTTTGAGAGAGAGAGAGAGAGAGAGCTGTTGTTTTACAGTGAGTTTTATTGTGTAATATACTGCACACGTGTATGAACTTAACAGCGATATATTAACCAAAAAATCAATTATTGTTTGCAATTATATAATAAATTATTACTCCTTTTTATCTAAACATATAAATTGTTAGTTTATATACATATTATTGTATTTGTAAAAGAGATACCCATAATTATTACGTAAACGCAATGAAAAAACACTTTTGATAAGCCATAAAAAACTATTATAACTAACCTTTTCATGTATTTATTGTATAGCATTTAAAAGTACTAACAGATAGAAAGGAAATTTGCCATTTTATTCATATTCTTTCACTCTTTCATTATATTTATTTTTATATACAATTATTTCTAACCATTTATTGCCAACAATTTATTTATGAATTTTTTCCGATCGACTTATATATCTGTATAATACATGTGTATATATTAATGGTTACCGCCGTAACTGACTGTGCATTTCATCGACTTTCGGGCCCCACTTTTTTATGTGCATTTGTCACGCGAGCCAATAGTTAACTAGTTTTTGGTTTGTATGCAATGTATTGAATGACTTTTGGGAGTATTAGGCAAAAGAAATATATGACCAAAATATTATTATATGTTTTATGGCACACATACTGTACATACTATACGTATATATTTGTCATTTCATGTCTAATCTCTTGTTATTTATAACTTACAGAATATTCTGTAAATGCTTTACAAAACTTATGCGATAGAGAATAACAAGTACTATAAAGTATAGAATATTTGTTTGTGTTTTGTGTAGAATATCTTTCTTTACAATAAAGTTTTATTTTTGATTAAAATAATGAAAATTAATTTGCAAATTGTATGCATTCAGGGCCTCATCAATACTGTGCCGAATCCTTCCGATGGGTCTTCGATACGATGTCTCGCCGTTTGACAAAAACGACGGCAAAACAGTTGAAGTGGTCTTCTCTTCGCAGTCGACCGACGCTATAGTTTACGTAACGGTAAGTGTTTTCCATCGTTTGCCATCATTTTGTTGGTCCGAAATGAATATAAATGTGTTGAGACGTCGACGTTGTCGTTGTGTGCAAATCATCTTCGCTTATATAATGGGCAAACATTTTGTTTGTCGCCCAAAATAATGAAAAGCAATTTTCTAGCCGTAAAAAACATAATGCATTGCCAAAGTAAATGCATACCATGTATGCCAAGTATACCCAGAATCGTATTATAAAAGCCTTTTTTCTTCTCGTTTCCTTTGGACTCAAGTATTTACTGATATTTACTTGACTTTTGCATCACTATTATTGATGCACTACTGATGGCAACAAACATATCGTTTGGATAACGAATCAAAATTGTTTGCGATCTCAACGAAGAGATATATGCATATAATTGGATCCCTTTTTTCATATACCACTTCATATCCAGTGTCTCTCTTATGATACAAATCACAGTCTGATATTCACTGCATTACTATTTGGTTATTATTATTATTTTTTGTACTTTCATATGAAATATTATTTCATATTATAATTATTATTTGCCATAAATTTTGCAATAAAAGGTCAAACCGTCTAAAAATACAAATAAAATATAATATAAATTCAGCGATAAAAATGACAAGTATTTTTGTGGGCAGAAATAATTGTCTGACATTTTGCAATTGAATTAACAAATAAAAAGCACAAATTTGTTACCATATGATACGTTACGGTCTTAAAATCATTAATAAGGAGATCGTTGAAAATATATCACAAAATGATAAATACAGTGAAATTGTAAGCAATAAAGGCGGACCTCAAGTAATTTGTCGGGTATTAGATTTATAGCTAACTGTCAGCCCGTTATTAACAATGGTTTCTCTGAACGGTATACACAGTTAAAGTCACATTCAATTCAATTTTCTTACTCTCACTTTCGTGTATAGACTTTTAGAGGAGTCCGTAAATAATATTATTAATTTTAATCATTATTTCCATTGAAATAAAAACTAATCAATTTAAACCTTAACACTATTCCTGAGATCTGTAATTCAATTTTGTTTAATAGTTATAAAAAGAGTAAAAATACTTGTTTTTTGTTAACATTTATTTTTTGTTTGCGTTTATTTATGTAACTTTCAAAAGGTTTTGTTAAAAAACAAAATAGTATAATATATCTCATAAAAATACTTAACAGCAAAACATTTTAATATAATTAAAAGCATAATTAATTAGTTGTAATTATATACTGGATATATAAGACAAAAACGGCAACTATTATATTGATTTAATATAATTTATATAAATGTGCTGTACTTTTTAATAAGTATAAGTTTCATAAATGTAATTTTGCAAGTTTTTTGCGGCTAAATAGCAATTTAATAAAGATTTACTCCATTTCTTATAACTATTAAATCCATTAATGGCATGAAATTCAAGCCAATATTAAACTTATAATTTCCGTTATTATAAGTTATATAACGTATATTAATATCTGCTTTAGTGATTGCCTGGACTTTTACTTACATTTACTATAAAAATAGGATTGAGTGGTATTTAGTTCATACCATTTCTCAGCACTGGTTTGTCATCAGTTATTTAATATTTGGAAAAATCGTTTTTTATACTAAACGACAAAAAATAATAATAAAATAAATTTTAAAAGTATTTTGCATCAAATATATTAAGACTTATAGAGTGGGAGTAGAGAGGGAGAGAGGAAAAGTGCTTGAAATTCACTTTTATGTATTGGTAAAAATTGGTCGTCAAACTGATATACCACTGCTGTTGGGAATACTTTATGTGTATATTTACAGAATATTCTGTATATCAATGTCTATCAATATATTTAAAAAATAAAAACCAATTGTCAGTTCAATTTATGGACCAGAATAATAATATTTTGCTCCCATTTAGCAGTTTTCTATTGACAAAAAATAATAAAATTTTATTTAACTTTCCAATTGGAAACACAACGAGTGATTTCTAAGCCGTGAAACAAAATTAAACAAAATAATCACTGAATGGCCAGAAAAAGGCTTATGAAGTGAGTCGTGAGTCGCAAAACATAACAATCTTTTGTATTATTTCATAGGTTTCTGTATGTGTTGACGACATTTTGCATGAAAGCACACAATTAATGAATTTAGTTTTCCATTGCATTAGTTTCGGTCACTTTTTCTCACTTTTGTTTTTGTGTCTGATTTTCTTCTCATTCCTCTCTCTCTCTCTTGTTTAAACGTTTAAAGGCTTCACAATTACTCCTCTGCCCAATGTATTTGCTCTCAAGTCTTCAACCAGTAGTGGTGCTCAACAAATCTCTCTCTCTCTCCCCCCTTCTCTTTCACTGTCCTATTGTATATCTCAGAGACCTTTTCAGCACATAATCACTGAGTCTATGGAGTAATAAATAAGATTGCGAAGGAATGGTAGGAATTGTATGGTTTGGTATGTGTATTGAATTACAGATTCTGGTCATATAGAAAAACGGAGAGACCATAGCATAGCATAGCATAGCATAGCATTATATGCGATGAATAACAACAGAGCCAACAATACGATAGTGTGTATAGCTTTTAATGAGACAACAAAAAAGTGTGTATATTATTGGAAATACTGTGATATAAATGGAGAGAGAAAAATAAAATGAAATTACGATTTTTTTCTTTCTCTCCTATTCTCTCTCTCTTTCTCTCTCCTCCTCTCCATCGATATCCGAGAGTGAATGCGAGCGACAAAAAAACTAATGCCTATTAATAAGAGCGTATTGTCTATTGATTTTGTTTATTTGCACTCATATGCCGTATATATATATTGTATATTTAATTTATTTGTCCATTTGATTAATTTATAGGTCGTTTTGGTCATATATATCGTCATATTCTTGATTCTGGTCATCACGAGCTACAGGAAGAGCGCTGCCCTCAGAAACAGTCTGAACCGACACCTAAGGCAACAAAACGCCAGCAATTATGGCGCGACTGTTATAGTGGACTGCGATAGCAAAGGACGGGTTCGGTGCGAAACCATCGATGACAATATACAGGAGGCCACACAACTCTGAGATACACTTTCCCACTGCCCGACACATATCATCCAATGAATCTCTTAACCATACATTTAATATCCTAATGAATATTTAGTGGATTGTATTATAATTTCCAGATTCATGTATTGTTGTATAACTTTTTAAAAAAATTGTAGTTTTAAATTGAAATCACTGTTGACTTTGTTTGTATCCGTATTTTTGTTACCAATTTATTACTTTTTATCTTTTATTTCATTGACAAAAATAGATTGACAGATAAGATGGACATGTATTGAGAGGAGAGAGAGAGAGAGAGAGAGAGAGAGAGAGAGATTTGTTGAGCACCACTACTGGTTGAAGACTTGAGAGCAAATACATTGGGCAGAGGAGTAATTGTGAAGCCTTTAAACGTTTAAACCGATAAATTCTTGACGACAACTGACACTATTCTGGGATTTTCTCAATAATATGTGACAAATGTTTGAAAACACACTTTCAATGAAATTAAATTTATTTTTACACTTTCAAGTGATGCCTCTCTTCGCTATAATTATCAGTACTTTCTTTTTTAACGGAATCACTTCCTGAGGCTTAACAATAATATAGAGACTAAATCCGCACAATTGTCCGAAAATATGTCACAATCCTATTCAGCTCTCTCTCTCTCTCTCTCTCTCTCTCTCTCTCTCTTATTTCTTTCTCTAACACCTATCCATAGAAGAGCACCATTTTATCACTCAATTCACCACTTTATTCAAAGACCAAATACTCGATGATTACATTAATACAGGATTTGATTTAATAAATGTTTATTAAATATGAAATGTAAACCAAATTCATTTACATGTACTTTATTAGCAAAACAAGCTTGTGAATGTTTTTATGTAATCATGATCTTTATTTAATCATATTTTATAATAACAAAATCAATATAATTTTGGGAAAAATAAATAATATTAATATACATGTATATATTATTTGCTCGTTTAATTCAATAACCAAAATTGTAATTACTTTATGACAACATACATAATATGGCTAAAACTATGTATAAATCTATAATAATAATAATAGTTTTAATTAACAGAAAATGCAACGAATACACTAAACATTATTTAAGAATATATTAAATATTTGTAAATTAAATAACTTGTCTCAGACTAAAGGGATTTGTAATTTAATATATAATATGTAGTAAATTGTAATGATATGTCAAAGCACTATGAAATACAAATAATATAGATATTATGATAATTAAACACAAAAATTCTGAGAGATATAATGAAAGTTATGTCTAAAAATTATGTTAACATTACATAAACACTAAACACTAGGCTATCATCGTTTGGTTGTTGGCTGTGATCACAAAGTTTTTCTCATTTTAATTAATACTCATTTAATTTGCAGAAATATATTATTAAATTTTTTGTCAAAACATTGTTTTCGGTGTATTTTAACGTATAAACGAAAATGAGTGCAAAAATTGATTTATACATCTTTTTCATCTCATAGACAAATATTACAATAGATATGTTAAAGCATTTTCATGCGATTATTTCAATCAATACATTCATAATAATAATAATGTTAAACACTTTCTCGTCGAGTGTTAATAACACAAGAATTTTGTTTTACTTTCTTCGTTAAGTATAGTCTTAAATGGTTTTCATTATATAAATAAAGCGATTCTTTATATTTAATATTTTGTTTCAACGCTTTATATTTGGTTTAATATTTGTGTTGAAAACTATTGATGATATGCTTTCTTCTCAATGATATGTATTTTTGTA